CGGGGCCTGATCCATCGTCCGAGCAGCTGGGCCTGAGCAGAGGCTGCAAACTGAGCTTGCTGCATCTCTCAGCCTAACAGGGAGTCGTAGCTCCCGTGGCCAAAAGGGCCTGTTGTGGTCAGCTGCTCTGGCCCCCTGTGTGACACAGGGTTGGGTTGGGTTGGGTTTTACTTGGAGAAGTGACTTCCAAGCCAGTGGCTCCGAAACTGGGGTGTGGATCCCGATGGTGTGGGGCGAGCTGGTGGGACAGAGGGGCACACGTCTTTCCCAGCTGCTTTGGCAGCTAACAGTGCCTAAGCCCTCTCTCCTAGTCACCCTCTTCCACGTAAACAATTACAAATGTACCCCACCGGTGGTGGGGACGGAGCCCCGGCAGCAGTGCAGGGTGGTGGAGGTGGGGGTGCGTGATGGCGAATGCCAGCGGGGCGCCCGGGAGACAGCCCTGTGTGCACTGTGCTGTGGCATTGTTCACCGGGCAGTGTTCTGAGGAGGTGTCCTACTGAACACTGCCCTGGCATGGGGCCGGGCATTTGGACTAGGGAGGGCGCTGTCTGTAGAATCAGTGTCCTCTTGGCTTGTGGTAGTTAGAGATCCCATGAGCTCTTCATCAGAGTACAGGAGAATGAACCCTGGTGTCCTGCCCAGACTCCTCTTCAGGCAATTGTGTCTCCCGCAGCTTCTGGCCTCCTTTCCTTTGCTATGGTATTTACTTGCTGTGCAGCTGGTAAACAGCTGCCTCATACCAGCCCTGCGGTGGCTGCATTTAGTGGTGGGCAAAGTGACCTATGTTAACTGAGTCCTGTTTCGGAGAATGTAATCTGTGCCTGACCTGCCTGGGAACTGTCGGGGGTATTGGAGGGATCTCTAGGTCAGTCTTAATCCACCCCTTGCTTAGCAATACCAAGGAGATCCAGCCTCCCTGACTGTCCTTCCCTGCAGTGCGGACCCAGATACCCTACTGCTGAGACCACCGGGGCGGAGCTGATGTCCCCAGCCCTGCGGTGGCGAGGTAGTTGGCGATGCTTCTTGGGTAGCGGGGTCCCGCAGAGATGCTCGGTCTCGCATAGAGGTCTCGGCGCTGGAGCGTGGAGCACACTGTCTGGATGCAGACAGTACACTGGAGACGTCCTGTGTCTGTGCGGAGCCCAGCACCCCGAGGCCCTGATTTCTAATACAGGTAGATATGCCTAACTAAAGTGAGCTGCTATGCTACCCTGTGAGCTCTGGCTTAGCGGTGGTGAGATTCCCCCTCGCCCCCATACTTCTGTCTTATCCTTTTCCTGGTGCTAAGAAACCACAGACAGAGGCTGCAGATCCCCATGCCTCACTTTCCCCTCAACTGTTCTCTTTATCCGCTCCCATTACACCCGAATGAGATGAGATCTGCGGGCAGAGAGTAGCCTGTGTGCTTTGAGCTCTGCTCTCCAGCCACCTGCCCCCAGAAACAGGAACAGTGGTGCCCGTTGGAGGAGGCCTGCCCTGGGATCACAGGATCTCTGTGCCCCTCACTCTGCAGCCGCCAGGAGCTCCACCCTGCCCTCTCTGGGAACTTGAAGACCCCTTCCCCTTGGGGTCTGAGTGGGGAAGATGGCTACCAGGCTTTCGCCGTGCTCTGCTCTCTGCCCAGGGTCCCTCTTGGGTCTCCCAGTGCCTGGCACTTGCTCTGCACATCCAGCAATTACCGTAGGTCCCCTCTACCCTGCAGCTTTCAGGCCTCCCCTCTGTCGTAGCCTGAGCTGCAGCAGGCCTGCTGCTCTAGCGTCTGCAGGGGCTGGTTCCCCCCGGGGAGCTGTTCCCCTCAGACCACCGGCTGGCTGCTTCACCAGTTTCCGTTTGGTGTGTTCCTGAGTGCAGTGAGCAACTGTGAGGATAAACCGGGACCTGCGCTGGCTAGAGCGAGGCCTGGCGCAAGCGTCTCACCCTGCAGGCCCCACGCAGTGAGTGGGGGAGGGAGCCTGGAGCCCCCAGCCTGGGAACTGCTGTCCTGTGGAAATGGAAGTGAAATGTGCTGTGCCCTCCCCTGAAATGAATGTGCCATGAGCTATGGCTGGTATTTAGGTGGGATCTGGGCTCCTGGGCTCCAGGGCTCCAGAACAGTGCTTCAGTGCCCCTTCGTCGCTTGGTCACAAACCTGGGGTCTCACAGAGCCCTCACCGGCTAATCCCCACCGCTCCCCGTACTGGCTAATACCTAGGCACTCCTGCACCCCTCTCCTCCCCCACCAGCTAACACCCGGTGCAGAGGTCCTTTGGTTTGCAGCACCTTTCCGAAGTCCCCCGCCAGGACTGGGCCCTGTTGGCGATGTACACGCAGGAGGCAAGACCTGGGCCTTGCCCCAGAGCACTCATGGTCTAGCTGGGAAGAGGCCCGGGTGAGTCTAACAGACCAGCTGGGAGGGGCAGGGCTACGACCCTCGGAGAAAGGCCTACGTTCTCTGCTAGAGCCCAGCCTGCCGGGGAGGCTGCATCCCAGCTGGAGCCCGGAGTGGTGCTTCTGTCCACCCCGAAGAGGCCTCCTGTGCCCAGCTTCCCTGTATCCCTGGGCGGGACCTGACTCTGTCCTGTCCCATCGCACACTCCCCACCTTGTTAGTCCCGCTCCCCTGCAGCCAGCCTGGCTGCTCGCAGATCTAGGGAGAACAGACCAGCCAGGAGTTGGGGGACAGAAGGGGATCAGACTGTCCCTCCCCTGAACGTGATCCGAGGAGCCGGGGAGTGCTGAGCCCGTTGGTGGTAACTCCAGCAGCGCAAACCCCAGTGGCTGCGCTGCACAGGGCTGCTTACCCAGGAACCGTAGCAAGCAGCATGGCTGCAAGCCCCCCTCCACCTCGTTGCCTGGGTCCGTGTGGGGGCTGCAGCGCTGTGACTACGGCAGTACACCAGCCCATCCCGAAGGTGGGGGGCAGGTGCAGTGGGGGCCTCTGGTTTTCGCTCCTTACAGCTCCCCCATCGCCGCCAGGACATGCCCTTCATTAGCCCCCCGGGGCCAGTATGGTGGGTGGGTGTGAGGGGCAAGCAGGTTAAACACAACAGCTGCCATCTCGCCCCGTGTTCCCAGCCACCTGTGCCCCCACAGTGTGGCCCTTTGCTGCTCCAGCCTGCCGTCCGGTCGCTCTCGCCTCCAGCCCCACAGCCGGTAGTACTGCCCAGGGTTTCCATCCATCCCCGGTCTCCAGCTCCGGGCTCCAAAGCCTGAAACGCCACTGCACACGCCAGAGCCTCACCCGGGCCGCTTATCCCGCTGGCTCCAGATAAACTCGGACAGGCTGCGCCCCTCAGGCCAGCAGGGAGCCTCGGCGTGTCCTCTCTGCCAGGCCCTCTGGCGCAGGGGCTCTTTGCTGCCTTGCATCCACGCTCTGCCTTCTGTAGCAAGGTCCCTCCGAAGTGCTGGCTTCAGAACGGTAACTGCCTGCGCCGCAGGGCTGGGAGGAGGATCTGGCCACGGCAAGGACGTTGCTGGTTATAAGCGCATCGCTTCCTTACTCGAGAGAAACACCGGGCTGGGAGAGGGGTTATTGAAGCAAAGTGCCCATGTGAGCACAGGAACACACGGCTAGAGACTAGCCATCAGCACGTTCAGACTTGCAATTAGATGGAGGTTTCTCACCACCAGAGGAGTGAAGTTCTGGAGCAGCCGCCCAAGGGGAGCAGTGGGGGCAAAACCCCGAACTGGCTTCCAGCCTGAGCGTGATCAGTTTATGGAGGGGGTGGTGTGATGGGGCTGTCTGCGATGGCATGGAGCTGATCTGCGACCGCTAGCAGCAAATCTCCCCAACGGCCGGTGATGGGGCACTGGGGGGGAAGGGCTCTGAGTTGCTGCAGAGAATTCTTTCCCAGGTGTCCGGCTAGTGGGTCTCACCCACGTGCCCAGGGTCTAACTGATCCCTGGATTTAGGGCGGGGAAGGAATTTTCCCCGGGTCAGCTTGGCAGGGACCCTGGGGGGGGGTCTCGCCTCCCTCTGCAGCCTGGGGCCCAAGTCACTCACTGGTTTGAACTATTGTGAATGGTGGAGTCTCTGTCACGTGAAGTCTTTAAATCCTGATTTGAGGATGTCCGTGACTCGGTCAGGGGTCTATCACGGGGGGGAGGGCGGGGGGGAGGTTCTGTGGCCTGCCATATGCAGGAGGTCAGGCTAGATGATCATGATGGTCCCTTCTGACCTTAAAGTCTATGAGATCTCTCCACTCTGCCCCACCAATTCTACTGTCTGACCAGGTTCCGGGGTTTGGTCTAATGTTAAAAGCCACTTCAAATATCCTGTCGACGTTTCTAACAATAATGCTTTACAGAGTCTTGAGCCAAGCGTGCGACTTTGATTTATACAGTCCCCTTAGCGTACTTTGCTCTCTGCAGAGCTCTGGTGTGAGCGGCCCAGCCCCACGTAGCCTGCAGTCGGGCATAGATCATCTGCCTGGTGCTGAGTCAAAGCTGCCAATCCTAGTGGCAGCCGTTCCCTGCCACAGGTCAGTGTTCCTACATGCTCCGCTCCACGCTGTAACAGAGGCCCCAGGAGGGAGTGGGGTGTCAGCTGGTGAGAGGTTAGGACAGGAAGTGAAGGAGAATACTGTATCCAGCTGAAAATGCAGGGGGAAGGTTTGGGAGGCAGAAGGTAACCATAGGAGATCTTTGCCAGGACGGTTCTGAGGAGCATCTTGTTCTCGAAGGGACCTGGGGGGAGACCCCCACCACCGGGAGCAGAGCCTCTTAGAAGCATGCGTGGTCTTGGCTGTTGCTGAGTCTCACCCTGAGCTCTCCTGTCCAAGAACTGACCAGGCCAGCCCTGCTTAGTGAATAGGTTAGCGCTCTGTGCCGGGGGTGAGCTTGCAAGTTGAGCTTTTGGGTTCCTTGTTGATTTTTCTTATAGGTACTTTACTGCAAACAGTAACTGCACCAAGAGGCTACCGGGTGTACCCGGACAGCAGTCCCGTCCAGAGGGGCGCTCCCTTCGGACCCAGGCTGCCAGGTGTGTGACAAAGCGGGACTGTTCTTAATGTTTCCTCTGAATAGTGTGGGGGTGCCTCAGTTTCCCCTGTGCAGTTCTTAAGTATCTAGGTGGTGGGATAAGGGTGTATGATCGTTGCAGAGCCCTAGAGGGCAGGTGTGTGCAGGAGTCTGGACACAGAGAATGGCCAACACCCTGTTTCCTGGCACCTGATGGCCTGGTGTGACGAAGTGGGCCTGTTCTTAATGTTTCCTCTGAATAGTGTGGGGGTGCCTCAGTTTCCCTATGCAGTTCTTAAGTATCTAGGTGGTGGGGTAAGGGTGTATGATCATTGCAGAGCCCTAGAGGGCAGGTGTGTGCAGGGATCTGGACACAGAGAATGGCCGACACCCTGTTTCCTGGCAACTGATGGCCTGGGCCCTTCCCCCCTGCAAGGTGAGAGCTGAAGGGTTGGAGAACAAAGGAATCAGGTGACCTACTGGCCCGGGAAAGGAACAAAGCCCAGAGGAGGAGGGGCTGGAGGGGGTTTCAGTTTGGGGCTGGCTGGGACATGGAGTGAAGTGCAGACGTGGTTGTCTGGCTCACTGCCCCCCAGTATGGACCCAGCTGAGGGGTCCCGTTCTCTGCACCTGCAAGCTCTGTTTTAGACCATGTTCCTGTCGTCTAATAAACCTTCTGTTTTACTGGCTGGCTGAGAGTCACGTCTGACTGCGAAGTTGGGGGGCAGGACCCTCTGGCTTCCCCAGGAGCCCCGCCTGAGCGGACTCGCTGTGGGAAGCGCACGGAGGGGCAGAGGATGCTGAATGCTCCGAGGTCAGACCCAGGAAGGTGGAAGCTGTGTGAGCTGTGTGTCCTGAAGACAGGCTGCTCACAGAAAGGCGACTACCCCAGAGTCCTGACTGACTTCATGGGGAGCAGTTCCAGAGCATCGCCCAGGGACTCCGTGACAACTGGTGGCAGCGGTGGGATGTACTGCACCCCGTGGATGGTGCTTCCTGCAGTAAGTGACTGGGGAGCAGTAACACGAAGGGGGATTGCCGAGGACCAGGCCTGCTGAAGGCTCAGAGAGGAGCGGTTTCGGGGGGCGGTTAACCCCTGGGAGTGTGTGACCAGCGAGAAGGATTGTGCAGTAA